AAAATATAATTTCGTCGATTTGTGTAATTTATGAAAATCATATGACAAAATTTTAGATGTGACATGTCGTGTGACTGATAATACGTACGTACGTAAGGAGAAAATTAAAAACAGAAAACATACCTCTTTTTCTAAAATTAGCTGTTCAGGAATTGATAATTACTAGACGGACATTCTGCAAAAATTTCTGACTGCATGAAGAAAACATCTCATTTTCAGATATCATTTTCTCCCCAATATCTTTCCATACACATAGGATAATATGTTATTACTGTTTATCTATAAGCACGAATGATGAGTCTAGAATTTTGAATAAACATGCTTGAATAGAAGAAGGAACTTTGCTGGTCTTTCAAGGAAAGATTTAATTTTCGATTATTAGTGTTTACACGCAACATAAATTAAGACACCGAGATAACTTAATATAAGTGACTCAGCCCAATCTTGTCACACTCTATTAGAGACACGATACATTTGTGTAGACAATGAAATCGTAAGGCCGAAACCGTGCCTATTTAAATTCACTAACAATTTTCTCTAAAACGATTCGTCAGAACAAACTTTGTGCCCTTCTTTGACTTGGTGTAAAACGTTCGATCATGCGTTTTAATCCAATATCATATATTAATGATGTTAAAACAATTTTGGTAAAAATGAATTATTTTTTGTTTTTTTTTTGATGATACACAAAAGTACCAATACATATACAAGATATTCTGCAAGGAAGAAGGATAGTTCTACCATGCAAACATTACCTATTCCACATAATTGAAAACAAAAGTCAATAAAATCTACTAAAATTTTTTAGTATACATGAGTTTAAGAAAAAATAAAGAAAATAATTAAATTTTTTTTTCATTCTATATTAATAAAGTCATTTATATAATAGACAGACCAACCGACTCATCCTATAACAAAACAAGGATAAATTTATTACAATTAATTAACAACAATCATCCCAAATTCCTTCTCCGCCAACAAGTGGTTTCTTGAACTCAACAATAATCTCATGAATTCCGAAATGAGGATCATTATTCCTATCGTCTGCGGGATCACCAATATCATGCCAATACAATAATAGCTGTTGATCTCTTTGGAAATCTGCATATCCACTAAAGAATGTAATAGAAAAATCATCTGCTTCGGGGTAATGATATCTAGGTAAGTAAATTTCGGTTGGTGTACTCTTTTCTGGGTTGAATTTGTCATTTTTAAATTTGTATTTAAATACTTTTTTATAGGGGTCAAATGATAAGCTTAATGGTTCACCGTTAGTTTTAATAGGAAACGGTCTTAATAAAGATTCTAATGCTCTGCCTCCTAAATCTAATACCTGACTCGAATCTGGTGTTGACATCATCGAATGAATTTTTTCAAGACTTTCCAAAGGAGCTGAATAAATGCTAAGATCTTCACCGTTCCATTGATCACCCCATTCATTACTATTATCAGGGACGTAAGTCCATAAAGTATAATTGGCGAGATTACTTTCTAATGCTTGTAGATTTGCATCCATCGCCTTGATTTGTTGTTTGTAATCACCAGATTCGTAAGCTTTACGATTATCCAGATCATACGGTATGCCTATCTCTCCTATCACACTTGGCACATTGCCTATAATATTGAAATTTATTCCGTTAGTGAATCATCAAAAAATATTATATATATAGTATGAAACAGCAGAAAAATAAAGAACAGAATAATCATAAATCCGTACATACCAACTAAACTAACTCGTTCACTTAAAGTCAGATTAATTTGTTCTGCAAAATTTTTTCTTATTGCCTTATTACCTATTTTGATAGCACTAAGGTGTGTAGGATATTTACCCCTTTTGATACCCAAAACATCAACATTATACCAATTAAACTGTTTTTGTGTCAAAGTTAACCCATCATACCAATGTGGAGAATACATAATACGTTTTAGAGGATTTGGATCACTAAGCATGTCTGGTGGCAATTCAAGTACAGGAGGTTGAATAAATACAATAGCATTTGAATGTACAGATCTAATGGCTTCAGCATATTGGATGATAAAAGGTTTATAACAATCTTGATTCCAATTTATTGGTTCACCAGTACGGGGATTTTTCGCAAAATAATCAGGACATAATATTGTCTTTGTTTCTTTATCCCATACACCGTGAGCAGCCCATATACAACCTTTAGGAAATTCGGAAGACTTATTCCAAGTATAACCAGTTGGTTCATTTTCATACCAAGCGGTAACACCTTTTGGATCAATATGTTCCGATCCAACAACACCAAAACCATACCAAGTGATATCCCAAACTTGTAAAGTACAAGCGTGCCCTTCACCTAATAACATTGCTTGAAAAGGAGTTGGAGTTCTTCCACGTTTATATTCTTGATGATCAGGGATATGATTCAAATCTTTAGCACCAACAAAACCCCAACTTGGTTCGTTCATAGAATCATAACCAATCACCAAAGAATCATGAAGGCCGGCCTCACAAATTTTTGTTGCCAAAGTTTTGTAAGCGTTAAAATAATGAGATTGTAAATAATCTTGTATATTAACACCATCAACGATACATTTTTCAGCATATAATTTTCCTGCAAAGAATAAAGTAAACATGGTAGCAGAAGCGAGTTTATAATAATTAGTTGACCAAACCATTTTAGGATAATGTTTTGGATCATGATAAGTATTATGAACAATGGCAGCATCAGTAGCACCGAATTTTTTCATATCTAAACCAGCAAGATCAAGAGTCCATCCGGGAGCCCCAGAACCTCCAGAAAACCTTGACCACTAAATGGATCATTTGGATTAAAAAAAAAGAAAATAGATATTAATAGAACCATAAAAAAAAAAAGAAATAAAAAAAAAAGAAAGAAATAAATAACATACCACATCTTGATGAGGATCAATAAAACATCTAAAGCCATGTTCTTTGGCCTTTTGAAGGATTTTTATAATATAATCAATGAATTCAAAATCATATATACCACTAAAGTCGAAATATATATATAAAAAAATAAATAAATTTTTAGAGAGAAAGGGAATTAAAGAAGTCGAATAACTTACGGTCCTTTGTTCTCAAGAGCTTCCCAAGTAACAATAAATCTCAAAAAATTAAAACCCCAGTGTCTTAAACGAGAGAAATGTTGGTCAGCTTCTTCTAAGGGAAAAGGTCTCCCAATAAAGCTAACATTTCTATGGTCAAAAAAACCTTCGCGTACATGTGAAGGTATATTTGGAGGATTTTTGGAAGAGCCGGATAAATTTATGCCACGAAACATTAAAGTACGATCAGAAGAATCTTTTATCCATCTTCCATCCATCCATAAAGATTCATTATCCATAGCGATAGTAGTTGAAGAATTTGAAAGCTTCATTAACGTTTCTTCAGACAAATCCTTATTTGCGTGCTTAAACGGCAACATTTTTAAAATGAGAGCCGAGCTAGAGTGGAATTTTCCGGTCGTAAACCAGTCTTTTAAATACTTGTTACGTAGAATTATAATTCTATAAAATATATGTATATATATATATATATAAAGACTTTTATAAACGAAAAAAAAAAAGAAAAAATTAGAAAATTAAAACGATTAATAAAGATTATAGTTTTGAATAAATAGTAAATAAGTTGTACAAGTCTAACTAAATCAAATTTTTAGATCAATAAAAGGAAAAATAACTCCAATTTTGTTAATTGTAATTATCATTTATAAGATTCTTTTTTTATTTGTAATTAAATTTATATTTATGAAATTTATTTTAAAATATATATGTATACATATATACCCCGAATAAAATTAACAAAGAAATTTAAATATAGCCGAGTCAAACCTGTAGAATTCCTGTCGATTGTTATCGGACGAGATCCAGAAAGTTGCACAATTAATTGGTGGAATAAATTATTTTAATTTTTGGCTTCACCTAAATTTGGAAGCGGGCTGCAAACTCTAAACACTAGTTATTTTATTTACTTTATATATATATTATTGTTATATTAAATTTTATGTTACCATTACAGAAAGATGCATCTACGTACTGTACGTATGTATATCATAAAATTTTATTAGTAAATTTAGAGTTAAGGGTTTAAGAGTTAACGTTAAAGGGTAGGGAAATCGTTAAGATTAAATGAAATAGGAACATTTTAGTAAACCTGTCATATTTTATTGCACAGTATATAAGTATAGTATATGTACATATATATATACTTATTGTAACTGAAGAATATAATGATAATGTGTGAAACAATAATTATGGATAGGATTAGTCAAAAGGCGTATTTCTAGAATTTATAATTTTATTATTCACATAATGTGCGAATTGTAGGTATGTATAAATGTTATGTATAATGTTATCGTTATCATTTCCGTTATTGTATTTCACAAATGAACGTGGTTTACTTTTACGTAGATAAATATTATTAAATAATCAACCAATTACAGAAATGTTTCACAAAATGGATTATATATAATGACATTGATGTATACTTAAGTTATTTTTACATTATCTGTACCATGAAACATTTTTCAAATTTTATAAGTTTCATTCTAATCCAACTTATATTAGTTGGCTATGTAAGAGGTTCGTAAATAATTATATATGCTGTAAGTGGAAACTGGGATTGGAATTTCTTAATAAATTTATTAATTTTGGGGTAGAATTTATCTACGCCCTAACCCTAAAATCCTAAGAGATTCCCAAATCTACTTAAATTCCGTTCCCACTTATATATACTAAAAGTATATAAATGTAAAATTAACAATTTTGTTTGTTTTTAAATTTGTACAAACATGTGTACACAGCATCTTATCGCCCGGTTGTGATTTGGCATGGAATGGGGGATACGTGCTGCAATCCTGATAGCATGGGTAAGATTCAGGAAATCATCAAAGAAGTTTTACCTGGAATTTACACATATTCAATAATGGTCGGCGAAGATGAAAGCGAGGATAAAAAATCTAGCTTTTTTGGAAATATAAATGAAGAGGTTAATATTTTTTTTAGTCATTCTTTAAATTATTTTTATTTTTAATATTTGTAAGATTTGTATAGGTTAACAGCGTTTGTGAGAAATTGAAGGCTGATATAAATCTTAAATATGGTTTCAATGCCATTGGATTTTCTCAAGTAAGACTCAACATTTGTTTTTTTAATTTTATTTAATTTGATAATTTAATTGATTCGAACCTTTTATGTTAAGGGTGGTCAATTCCTTCGGTAAGTTTGTTCATAATAACGTCATTTTCATTCATCTGCTTTCATTTTCAAATTAAAAATTCTCTTCCAATTAAAGCGCATATGTCCAACGTTGCAATGATCCACCAGTGTACAACTTGATAACTTTTGGGTCTCCGCATAGTGGTAAGTGAATTAGTTCGAAAATTCAGATCGGCTCTAAGTATGGATTCGGATCCATGTTACATATGATGGATCGAATCCAAATTTTCCGAATCACGTGATACATATCCTTCCCATAAATTTTGATTGTTGTTTTAAAATTTTGAGCGGAACTTTCTCAACAACCACTTTATAAATTTCGATAAAAATTTTTTTATTCGAATTCTACAATTTTTAGAATTTAAATGAAAAAAATTTCATCGAATTTGATCATGTGGTTGTCAAGAAAACTTTGTTCAAAATTTTAAAAAATTTAGACGGAACTTATTCATTGATAGATGAATGAATTGTTTCAAAACTTTGGCGAAGCTTTCTCGGAAACCACCTGATAAAATTTCGATGAAAATTCTTTATTTGAATTTTACAAGTTTGTAAAATTCAAATAAAAAAAAAAAAATTGCTTTGAATTTGATCAGATGATTGTCGAGAAACTTAGTTCAAAGTTTTAAAAAAATTTAGGTGGAACTTTATTGACAGACGGAATGAATTTTTGAGCGGTGCTTCCTCAACAACCACCTGATCAATTTTAAAGAATTTTTTTTTAATTCGAATTCTACAAGTTTGTAGAATTCAAATAAAGAAATTTTATCAAAATTAATCGGGTGGTTATCATGAAAACTTTGTTCAAACTTTTAAAAAATTTAGGCGTAGCTTCGGGATGAATTTCCCAAATCTTTGTGGATTTTTTTTTTAAATTGAATCCTACAACTTTGTTGAATTCAACTAAAAATTTATGTGAAGGATCTACACGTGATTCGGAAAATTTGCACTCAGATCGGATCATTACATTCTAATCCTCTCGTCTCGTATTTCTTGTAGGCATATCTGATATTCCGGGTTGTGAAGGAAATGATGGGTGGTGTAAATTAATGCGATCAATAGCTAGTCAAGGTGCTTATTCAGGATATGTACGGAATCATATAATCCAAGCACAATACTTTAAAGATCCGAAAAGGCTTGATATTTATCTCAAGAAAAATATCTTTTTGCCGGATATCAATAATGAACTTGAAGTTAAGAATGAAACTTATAAAAAGAATCTAGTGACACTTAATAAACTTGTGCTTATTAGATTCACAGAGGATACAACCCTCAAACCAGGAGATACTGCTGTAAGTAACGATGATCGTGACTCGAATCTGCAATTCTATTGAATCACAATCGATTCTAAAGGTTACCATCACAAACTGTCAAATAATATATTTGTTCTCGAAAATTTTCTTCATGTCAATTTAATTTAATTGACTGTTTACATATTCGAAATTTCCAAATCGATTAATCTTTCGAAATTTAGTTTAGCAATACTTATTTTTTATGATCTCCAATTGGAGAAACGATTAGTCAGTTCGACTTTGACTTTGGGTTAGTCTCAATTCGGTTTGAGTCTATTCAACTCAAAATGAGTCAGTTCACTCAAATAACGTTTCATTGAGCCATGATAATCCCTAGTCTAAAGACACATTTATGTTTCGATTATTAATTCTAATTATAGTTTATATTAATATATATATGCTAATTTTTCTATAGTGGTTTTCATTCTATGATGAAGAAGGAAATGTTGTACCTGTTCGTGAACAAAAGTTGTACAAAGAAGATTGGATCGGGTTAAAAACATTGGACGAGGCTGGAAGATTAGTCTTTAAGGACTGTGAAGGTAGTCATGTAAGTTTAATTCTAATCGATTATCATTCTTGTGCCACTACTTGAATGTGGCCGTTTGGATTTACAAATTCATTCTTAACACAGATGACCATTGAGTTGAATTATTTTCGGGAAGAGGTTGTCGTTCCTTATTTAAATAATTCTCTTGAATATCGGCAGAAACCCTTATTTGTCATTCAAACATAATAGTAAGTTTCGTCACCTTTCGATTTGTATATATAAATAATATTATATAGTAAATTAGGTGAAATAATCAGTGATTGCCATTATATAAGTTCAACGTTTATAATTATCAATGATTGTCATTATATAAGCTCAACGTTTATAAATATCAGTGATTGTCATTATATAAGTTCAACGTTTATTACGTATCATAGTACATTATATATCAAATTTTGGTTTTCTGTATTATGCTATCATTACACGACTAAAATTGACTTCACAATCTTTCATTTGAAACTTCTTGAAACTCAAGTCTTCCATTTGGTGAAATGACATTTCATATGAGTGCCACCAAGGGAAAACCTGAATCCGGAAAGTACAGGTTATTAAAATCCTTAGTAATTCATCGTGATGATATTAACCTGTACTTTCCGGATTCAGCAGTACTCATACGTATTAATTTAAT